TTTATAACAACTTCTTTGCTATGAGATCATATTGGATCCTAAGGAGGCAAATTCCCAGGTAATTGAGTGCTGGCAAAATTTCCTCTGCCTTTTGACCCTGTTCTTGATTGGATTTGTTATATAAATGTATAGCCCCAGGAAGGTTGGGCAATCCTACTTCTGTAGTGATACTGCCTCGGAAACCCAAGGAGGGGTCGCTATGAGTCGGGACCGACTCGACGGCACATAACAACAAATAACAACAACATAGCCCCAGTTAACTGAAGAAGAAATGAAATAGAATCTTTAAGGTCTTCAGTGTTTGAATGATGAGGTAAAATGGATGAAAGAGGAAAAAAATAATCACAGTCATAAATAATAGCAGCTGTAGTTAACCATTTATTGAGCTTGGCAGTGGACTAAGCATCTCTGGAACAAGTCTGTGATGTGAATATTACTAGTTTATTTTATAGACTAGGGCACAGAAAGGTTAAGCAAAAAGTTTCAAAACCTATACCTTGTAAGTGGCAGAATCAGAATTTAACCCTTTTTTTTTTCTACCATAAAGCCATAAACTTGCACTGTGCTTGTGCTACTCCATATAGCATGAGTATCCTAATTGATGTCACTTGGCTTGAACCATAATCTTTGATTTAAGTAATATTTGGTATACTTTTTATTGTTGTATTGAATTTTTACCACAAGTTAACCCATTAAAGAGGTCACACAATCTGATACTATGTCGAGCCAGGTACAGAAGCCAAAAAAAAAAAATAAATAAAGTTGTAGGAATTTTGGGGATGACTATTTACATCAAAGCAAAGGAAGCAGCGCTTCCAAAGTCCAAATAGTTGTGGTCCACTCCTGACTTCATAGGCTGAGGTGTCAGCATACTGGCAGACTTTAGAGTTAATGTCAAGTATGGATACTGTATCACACAATGCCACTGATCAAAGTGACTGTACACCTATTTGATAGCCTTTGTTGTTGTTATGTCCTGTTGAGTCAGATCCGACTCATAGCGACCCCTCCTTGGGTTTCTGAGGCAGTATTACTACTGTAGATCACCCCATCTTCCTTCCGAGGAGTAGTTGGTGGGTTTGAACCGCCAGCCTTCTGGTTAGCAATCAAGTGCCATAGGCACTACGCTACCAGAGCTCCCATTTGATAGCTAGGGCCTAGGTACTGTTAGGAAGAATATGACAAAAAGTAGTACCCAGTAGTATTCTCTAGGGCTATGAGTATTCATAATCTCCATAATTACCTTTCATTTCATGTGGTCTAATACGATATATTTTTTCAATGAGAGAACTGCAGCAACTTGTACTATTACTTGAAGAAACAGTTTTTCCACTAGGAGTTTTACCAAATGATTCGCTTCAGATTAATAACATCATCCCAATGGGCTTGGTTATACTAAAATGCGACACACTGCCATAGAGTCAGATCCGACTCATAGCAACCCTTCCTTGGGTTTCCGATGCAGTATCACTACAGAAGTAGATTGCCCAACCTTCCTTCCAACGAGTGCCTGGTGGGTTTGAACCTCCAGCCTTCTGGTTAGCAGTCAAGCCTTAGGCACAAAACCTGGACTGGAATAAAGTATATCATAATGTTTGCTTTTATTTTATTATTTTCCATATAATAAAGTTTGCCAAAGTCCTCCCCAATTGTCAAGTAAGTAGCATGAAATCATAGAAAAACTAAGCAGTAATTTCCTCAGAAATTTCATTGTTAAGTTTTTTTAAAGCAATTTAAAGCTTTAAAAAAAATTAGGCCTTCTCTCATAGATCTTAGGAAATAAATTGTACTTTATTTTTGTATCTGTTTATGGAAACTGTTCTGGTTACCTAGTGCTGTTCTGACAAGAATATATCACAAATGGGATAACCTTAACAAACAGGAGTTTACTCTCACAATTTGGAGGCTAAAAGTCCAAGTTCAAAGTGCTGGGCTCTGGGGGCTGGGTGAAAGCCCCTCAACCTTGGGCTTCAGCTCTGCCTCTTGCTCCTGGCCTACTGAAGCTAGAGGCATCTCTTCATTCAGGCAGCTACTGGCTGCTGAGGCTAACAAGCCCAAGGTCAAATAAAATGGCACAGTCCGGATGTTACCAAACCACACAGCAGGCCATTAATTCAAGTCTAGGTTGGCAGAGCATGGCAGGCTGCTGAACAATGACACAACTACATTCAGGGTCCAAGTGTGCCATAAGCTAGAGACCGTTCCCAGAGCTGCTGCTTATATACAGGAAGCAGACCACATACCCAGAGCAGCTACTTAGCTGCTTGCTGTAGATCCCACCATGGAATTGATTGCCAGTCTCATCATGGGGAATAACTACCACCAGCTGCCCAGGCACTCAACCAGGCCTAACCAAGTTGACACACAGACATAACCACCACAGAAACCTAAATGTGAAATTGGATACCCTTAAAGTCAGCATTTATTTTTATAAAAATCTGGAAAGATTAGTGTCTGTCATTTTTGTTTTTATTTCAGAAAGCACAGAGCTATGTTTAGGTTTCTCAGATTCACATAGTAGGGAATATTTAGTTGTAGTATTTAGCCCTCAAAGTGAAACTGTCCTCAAGGATTTTTACTTCTGTAACTTCATGGTGTGACAAGTTAAAATTGCCTGTTGAGAATTTAGCACTGCTAAATAAAGAGAAGTAGTAGAATAGTTAGTTGGAGGGGTAATGTCATCCAATTTCAATTAAATAGAGAGAATCTAATGCTTCCACCTTTCTTTTTAGGAGAAATTCAAAATCCAGATATTCAGGAAGACTGTCCATAGTGAATCACCATAAGACTCAGTTAATGCATGTAGTGTCCACTTTAGATGTTGACGTTTATGTTTGGGGCCATTTCATTTTGAGATTTGTAGCTCTTGGCTCTTGCTTCTTGACTTTATAACATCAATCATTGTACTTATTTTGGAATGACTTTCATATTTGTGGTATAATTTCAGCTTGTGAAATACTAAATGCTAATAGGACTAGTGTTCCATAAGTATACCTTGGGAAAGACATTAGTAGAATATTAAATGTTTTCAAACAAATTATGGTTGTGTCTGAAAACTACTTATAAAGTGGAACTTGAAAAAGTAGTGTGGTCTTCAAACTTTAACATATCAAACATTTTTCTGTTTTAATATACTTAACAAATTAACAAATTTTCTTTAATTCTAGGGTAATTTAAAAGATAGTTGTCCAAATTGATAGTAACTAAATTAATGAGATTCTTTATGTCTTTGAACCTTAATACTTATTTATATGAGATGAGACAACAGTAATTTATTTAATTATATTCTTTACCATCTCACCATCTAGTATTTTTGTATATGTAGCTCTAATGGTTATATAAGATCTCAGATACACAAGCATAGCCAGTTCAGGATACAGGGCAGCCAGCTCTGTGCTAAAGATAAAAAAAGATTTGTATTTGATAACAGAAGAGCCATGTCTTAAGACTTAGTCTATGAATTCAGACAAAAATAGATGTAAATGCCACTGATTTGTAATTTAGGTTATATTCCTCCCACTACCAACCACATTATTGCCTAACTCCTCATGAAAGGGACGTAATATGGAGGAAGTCCTGTTAAACTACTACAAAAATAACAAGACTAATGAATAAATGGGAGCTCTGGTAGCATAGTGGCTACGGCACTTGACTGCTAATCAGAAGGCTGGCGGTTCAAATCCACCAGCCACTCCTCGGAAGGAAGGTGGGGCAATCTACTTCCGTAGTGATACTGCCTCAGAAACCCAAGGAGGGGTCGCTATGAGTCGGGTCCGACTCGACGGCAAACAACAACAACAATGAATAAATATAAATTAATAGCAAGGAACATCTGAAAAAAAATCATTTAAACATTTTTTCACTTGTTGAATAATGGACCATGGAATTACAAGATTTAATGTAGTCGTATTTAACCAAGAGGAAAGCCATGTCCCACTGGGTGGAAAGGCTAGAATTTCAGGACTGGAGGGAAGGTGATGTAGTTTAGTGTGTATTAATTTAAACAGAAGGAGCTCTGGTAGCATAGTGCCTAAGGCACTTGACTGCTCACCAGAAGGCTGGCGGTTCAAACCCACCAGCCACTCCTCGGAAGGAAGGTTGGGCAATCCTACTTCCGTAGTGATACTGCCTTGGAAACCCAAGGAGGGGTCGCTATGAGTCGGGGCCGACTTGACGGCAAAAAACAACAACAACAACTTAAACAGAACATATTCAAAATTATAATTTTATACTTAAAATATATATTCCAAATCTGTTTTTACAATACACACTATATGTCCATTTACTCAGCTGTAAGTACCTAATATACTTAGCTTAGGGCCTGTTGTTATTTGCCATAGAATCAGCCCCGACTCCTAGCGACCCCTCCTTGGGTTTCTGAGGCAGTTATCACTACGGAAGTAGGATTGCCCAACCTTCCTTCCGAGGAGTGGCTGGTGGGTTTGAACCGCCAGCCTCCTGGTTAGCAGTCAAAGTGCCTTAGGCACTATGCTACCAGAGCTCCCTAGCAGACAGTAAATAGTAAGTATTTATTGTCTGAAATTAATGAAAGCAAGCAAGCAAGCAAGCACAAACAAATGAAGGAAAGAGAAAGAAGAAAGTGAGGAAGGAAGAAAAGAAAATATTGTTGAGAAAACTCATTTTACTTAGTACATTTTGAAGATAGACTTTACTTTCTGCTTATTGGAGATTCTCAAGGAGAGAATGTGAGATTTTCATGTTTGTCAAGAGAGTAACTTATAAAAAGACTGGGAAATGTTAGTCCACTAGGAAGAGCATTGAACTAGATACCTTGATTACTCATCCTTGCCACTTTGCTGTTATTTATTTGGATGTTATTAGCCAAATCTTGAGGGCTTTTTTCTTTCTTTGACTAACAGGGATTAAGATAACTTTCTTTACTTCATCTGTATAATATGAGCAAAAAAAGATAATCATTGTGAAGTTTAAAGTCCTACAAAATATGAAGCTCTGTCTTTTTTTTAAATTATTATTTACAGGCTGCCTAAATTGTATCTTTGTGAATTTTGTCTAAAATATATGAAAAGCAGAACTATTCTACAGCAGCACATGAAGAAATGTGGTTGGTTCCACCCTCCTGCCAATGAGATTTACCGAAAAAATAACATTTCTGTCTTTGAGGTAAGATAGATGTTTGGTAGTTGTCTTACTATACATGTCAAATATATTGCCACCTGTACTGCATCCCACTGAGCAACTTAATTTTTCTTTTGAAATGTTAATTTCATGTTATTCCCTCTCTGTTGAATCAGATGATCACCTATATTAAGCAAAATTAAGCCAACCCAAATGGTACCACATTTACAAGTCTGACCTCAAATTATTCTGTATTTCATGAATTCATGACATCAGTTATAAGATGCATATGTTAGTTTATGTATCACTAAGAAGGATAAAGTACTGCTGATTATAATTTATAAAACTCCATTTGATTATAAAATGCCAACAGATTTCATAATTGTTAAGATGTGATAGAGTTGCCGGGTGGTACAAACAGTTAAGCAACAACAAGGTAAGAGATTGGCAGTTCAAGTCCACCCAGAGATGCTTCGGAAGACAGGGCTGGTGATCTCCTTCTGAGAAGTCACAGCCTTGAAAACACTATGGAGTAGTTCTACTCTGCACACATGGGTTGCCATAAGTTAGAATAGACTAACAACACCAACTAACAAGAGGTGATAAAAGCATGTCTTAGAACCTGTGGAATGTAGTGTTTAAATGAAAGAATTTCTGTTACTCTATTTTAAAGTAATATTTGTATCCTTGGAAGGAAGGTTGGGCAATCTACTTCCATGGTGATACTGCCTCGGAAACCCAAAGAGGGGTTGCTATGAGTTGGGTCTGACTTGACGGCACATAACAACAACAACAACAATTTGTTAGAGATATCTTTAGTAAATCTTAATATACTTTCCTGACTGTATCATGATCTTATGACTTAAGAGATATCTACGATTCGTATTATTTGGGGTGGTTTTTAATTCCTTGAAATTGGTTTGAGTGCCAAGTATTCATTGAGCACCTGCCATGTGCTCACTTGTGCTAAGTACTACAGTGATAGAATTTCAGATTATTAGGTCTCATTCTCACTTTCCTGATCTGTCTGAAGGTTTTATTTTAGGTAAGTAATAGAGGAGCTCTTTACCTGGAGGGTGTAAGAATGGTATAAAATACTGTTTCAGAATACCCAAGAGCAAATTATGTCTCAACTTAAGCATATATTGATGTGTATTTTAAAACAAGTAATATTAAATTACTTCAACTGTTAAGGAATTTTCAGTTAGTTGTATGTCGGATAGTGCCACGGGGTCCAATAGGGGCATCCATTGATGTTTTCATAAAGAGCAACCTCCAGCACTCCAAGAACAGAGGGGTGTCAGGAGCAATATGGGTTATATTGCTGCTGATCTTGGCAACTTGAGCCCAAGAAATACCTCATTAACCAGATTGCTACCTAGGGAACTTGCTTGGTATTTCTCATTGGCAACAGTTAACACTGTCTCAAGTAACTTTATTTGGGGTTAAGCTGATCATAGCAGTCAGAATACATTGTTTCAGATTGCTGGCAGAGATTAGACAAGAGTTATAACTTGTTTTACTTAATAAATATATTTCAGAGGAGGTTGCATATAGAACTTAGTGTTGTTGAATTAAATACTTTTAAAAATGAATCAGATCAGCTTGCCATCCAAAGGATTTCTGAAATTAATCTTTTTCATAAAAGCAAAAAGTGCTGTTTTAAAAACAGGTCATCACCTCTCCCTATAATTATTCATGCTTTTTTGAAGTGCTTTATTTTTATATCTAGTTGTCTTAAAACATACCATAATGCTGCCATTTCAAGTGATAGTTTCCAAGTTTGAGTGTGTTCTGATCACTGACCCTATCTCTGGCACTAGTCTATGGATTTGTAACTTAATGTGTATTGTTCAACTAAAGAGACACCCTATTGGCCATTTTTGTTTTATTTTTTTCCTCTAGGTTGATGGGAATGTGAGTACCATTTATTGTCAGAACCTGTGTCTCTTGGCAAAGCTGTTTCTGGACCACAAAACACTCTATTATGACGTGGAGCCATTTCTTTTTTATGTACTAACACAGAATGATGTCAAGGGCTGCCACCTAGTTGGCTACTTTTCTAAAGTAAGTGTATCACCTTAAAATTTGTTTGAATTCATATGGGAGTCTGAAACCACCTTTGTTACATCTCACTAAAAGACAGTACAGGCTGTGGCACTTTCTGGGTGCCTTCTAGCCTTCTTTAAAGAAAATTCAGAAATGTGAGTGCATGCTAGAAGGTGCCTAGTAACATTGTACAGACCTCTATTCTCCTAGGAACGTGAACTGCTGATAATACTCAGGAGGAAAAGTTTTGAAGTGACTTCTTTTCCCATGGTGATAATAGATAGAACATGTGAAATAAACAACAGTCATTACCTATCCAACTCCCTTCTCAGCTTAAATGTTCCTAATTTGAATTTTAGACATAAAAATAAGAGGCTGTTTTTTTTTAAAGGATATTTTCTTTCTAAGTCTTTCATTCTTTAGGAAAAAAAGTTTTCCTTTAAAAGCAGCATAAAAAAATGTAATTTTATTTAAGTAAGCCTTTGTAAAATCTAAGTGTATAAAGGTTAAATGGAAATTACTAGCTTTATAAGACTATTTTCAGTAGTTAAATATGATTTAAAAATACATTGCCTACTTTGAAAAATATGTTTGTACCCATCATTTCAGGACTGTTTTCTATAAAGTTAGACACAACTGATTGTGGGGTGGGACTCTTGCTATGTTTAGTACCAGACCAGGAAATAAAGGAAACATTGAAATATTTGGTGAAACTTTTCACTTCTAGAATGTCACATTGACTCACCATTTATAGCTTTGCACATGGATTGGGACTTAGATTCCTCTGCTCATCTTTGAACATTGACGTACTGTTTTTTTGAGTTGCTGACGATACTGGATGGCATCATTTTATTTTATATTTTAACCCTACTGGGATGGTTGCTTTGTAGGTGACAGTAGTGACTTAACATTGTCCTATCTTTCCCCAGTGAGGTATTTTTTTTCTTGATGTACATTGCTATTCCCAAAGGACCCAGGCTGTGGTTTTCACTGTTAGTCTTTGTTTCTTAATAATTAGCATTACTATTCAGTCTTACCAGCCTGTTGTTTTATAATGTAGCTTCTTTTTTCTCCATCAGGAAAAGCACTGCCAACAGAAATACAACGTTTCCTGTATAATGATTCTTCCCCAATACCAGCGTAAGGGCTATGGCAGGTTTCTCATCGATTTCAGTAAGGATTATGTTAACTTTTCTCATTACTCTTCATGTGGATTTTCTGTATATATTTTTTTAAAGTTTTGAAGATAATTTATTAGTTGCTAGTATCTCTTGTCATATTGCTTCGTGGAACTTTAAAACCTGAAGCCTCTAATTTTTTTCTTTTAGTTAGACATGAAATATTTTTAAATAATTTAATACTGAATACCGGTTTCTATGTGTTCTATAGCAAATGCCTTGGAATTGTTCATTTAAAATAAAACTAAGTTTCATGAGGCAATTCTAACTGACAAAAATATTAAAAACATTAGCTACTCAAATTAGTGCTAATAAAGAAATACAGCAACTGCCCTATTTTTGCTACCCAATTATCCGAGAAAATATGTGCCTCCTTTCTTAGCTACAGGCTCTACCTGGTGGTGAAACATAAGCAGTGCACCTTAAAATTTTTCTTTTAAAAGTGAAGATCCAGGAAATAACACTTTAATCTGTTAAAAAGAGAACACTAATAGTTCTAAAGGAGCTCTGGTAGCGTAGTGCCTAAGGCACTTGACTGCTAACTAGAAGGCTAGTGGTTCAAACCCACCAGCCACTCCTTGGAAGGAACGTTGGGCAATCTACTTCCATACTGACACTGCCTTGGAAACCCAAGGAAGAGGGGTCACTATGAGTCAGGTCAAACTTGACAGCACATAACAACAACAACAACAGTGGTTGTAAAGAGGTTATTATGAAACTTGTATTTGTTTTGCATGTTGACAGTCTTGCTTAGAAAGTTAAATGTATGCTTGTAGTTAAATGTATGTTTATATTGATTATAAAATAATGATATTGGAGGGAATATTTAATAGTATAAAGTAATATTCAAAGGAATATATTCAGAAATGATGGTCGAACGAAGGAGATTGGTTCAGGCAGTCCATTCAGAATATCAGATAATTATGTTGTGGTGCTGCTATCTGCAGTGTTGAGAGGTTAATTTTTGTATGGATCAATTATGCTTAGACTGTAGTCTTAACCATATTTCATTGTGTATGTGCCATTGGTTATTTTGCACATTTTTTGTGGCCTTTTTGGGTTAGCAATAGTGAGTGGAACTCGTATTAGCTCAATATATTAATATCAATAATATTAACTCCAAAATAAAAATATATTTTTGAGATACCAAAACCAGAATCAAATCCACTGCCATCGAGTTGATCCTGACTCATAGCAACCCCTCCTTGGGTTTCCGAGGCAGTAAATCTTTACAGAAGTAGATTGCCCTGTTTTCCTTCCATGGTGTGGCTGCTGGGTTTGAACCACCAGCCTCCTGGTCAGCAGTCAAATACCATAGGCACTGCGCCACCAGAGCTCCTTGTGTTTTTGAGATAGGACTCTTGAATGAATATATTACATATCATTAAATAGCAGAGTTAGGGGAAAATAAATTTTATTTATGGTGATTAGGTTTTTTTTCCCCTTTGTATACCTACTATAGGAGCTCTGGTAGCATAGTGCCTAAGCCATTTGACTGCTAACCAGTTTGGCAGTTCAAACCCACCAGCCACTCCTTGGAAGAAAGGTTGGGCAATCTACTTCTGGAAACCCAAGGAAGGGTCTCTATGAGTCGGATCTGACTCGAGGGCAGTGCGTTTGGTTTCATACCAACTATAATTTGTATTATTACAGTGTTTATTTATTTTTGTAATTTAGTATATTTTTTCTGCATTACCAATTCTCTTGTTGTTGTTATGTGCCGTCGAGTCAGACCCGACTCATAGCGACCCCTTCTTGGGTTTCCGAGGCAGTATCAGTACAGAAGTAGATTGCCCCATCTTCCTTCCAGGGAGTGGCTGGTGGGTTTGAACCGCCAGCCTTCTGGTTAGCAGTCAAGTGCCGTAGCCACTATGCTACCAGAGCTCCCACCAATTCTCTAGACTACTTTTCAATTTTTGTTTAATGACCAAAAAAAAAAAAAAAAATACATTTCTTCTGACATCTCCATGTTCCATACTTTTTCTTTGGAATTCATGGCCCCCCCACCACCACCACCACCGTTCCTGGGAGATGTGGCAAGAGAACTAAGTAATACCACCATTTGCTCACAGTGACACTCACACTCACATTGACATTGTTGCTTGCTAAAACAATTAGGGTGTTAGGTCATTTTGAAGAGAGCTTTGGCTAAAATGTCAGCTAATTCACTTACTGAAGAACTAGTGTTGATAGTATTACAAAAAACTAAAAGGCATTCTTTTGCTATTTCTCAATTCATATATAACTGTTGCCATCTAGCGGTCCAAATAAAACATGCAAGGCTGTTTTTTCTCTGTACTATAGAAAACATTATTGACATACCTTAATGTATCCTCTTTACAGGAAATCTTTTTAACAGTTTGAATCTTTTGACAAGATGATTTATATTAACTATAGAACAAGTAATACCTAAAAGTTCAATGTATACAAATTATGCAGTCATCCTGCAAATCTACTTGAAAGTAATTTTGCAATTTTGTCCTTTTTCTTAAAGGAATTTATTTTTGAAACAACTATTTCCTATAATATTTGGTTTGGTTTGGGGTGAGGGGATCGTTACTTTGGGAATCAGCCTGTTAGACTCTCTGACATATTTGTGATTTGGGGGTTTCTTTAGGTTATTTGTTATCAAAACGTGAAGGTCAAGCAGGATCTCCAGAGAAACCATTATCTGATCTTGGCCGTCTTTCCTACATGGCTTATTGGAAAAGTGTAATATTGGAGTGCCTTTATCATCAAAATGACAAACAAATCAGCATTAAGAAGTTAAGTAAGTTGACTGGAATCTGCCCTCAAGACATTACTTCCACACTCCACCACCTACGAATGCTGGACTTCCGTAGTGACCAGTGAGTATTACATCCCTTTGTATACCTTCAAAAAATAATTGAAAGTTTTTGGGATCAGACAATCAGTTTATTAGTGAAAGCGCATAAACTAATATAAGTAAGTGGTGTACCCTGAGCCATCATTTTCTTCTCTGTGCTATTTGATACTATTGATCATATTTAAAAAAAAAAAAAAAAAAATTCTGATATTCCTGTAGTAACAACTCTAGAAACAATGTCATTAGGTAAAATATGACTGATTAATTTCCATAGCACTAATACAAAGTGAAATTATGTAGGTTCAAAAGAACAGCTCACTCTTCACTAGAGTGGTTGGGAAAATTCACAAAGAAAGGTGACATTAGAGCTAGATAGGTGACAAGTGGAAGGAGAGAATGCAGGAGAGTAGCAGAGATTCCAGAGGATGAGGAAATGTGAGACAGGAAGTAGTTAAAATTCTTTAATCAACTGCTATGGTTTAGCATGAAGTAGTTGTTCAGCTTCCTATCTCTTTGCTTTCTCATGCAGTAGCATATTTCCTTATTTTATCTTTCTAGGCAGGCTAGTTTTGAAACATTTATCATCTCCAGGGTTTTCCAGAATTTACATATCCCATATTCATTGTTATGTGTACCTTATACATCGTTGATTGCTATAAACTTTTCTCTGGTTCCAGATTTGTGATTATCCGCCGGGAAAAACTTATCCAGGATCACATGGCGAAGCTTCAGCTGAATTTGCGTCCTGTAGATGTAGATCCAGAATGTTTACGCTGGACTCCTGTTATAGTCTCCAACTCTGTTGTCTCAGAGGAGGAAGAAGAGGAGGCTGAGGAAGGAGAAAATGAAGAGCCACAGTGCCAGGAAAGAGAATTAGAGTCCAGTGTAAGAGCATGAATGGTCTCTTATTTTTCATAACAGAATATGTATTATTTGGTTTTTATGAGTATTTGTGATATAATCTGTCTTACAAAGAAAGTAATTGCACAGTAGAATTTCAGAGTTCATTTCAGTGGTAGAAAATTCAGGAAGACTTGGTCTTATTTACCTATTTGTATACTGTTATTCCTTATATCATTAGTATAACATCAAATTTTTATGTCACGTTACTTGTGACTAAATATTACCAGAGTGCTGATGATAGCTGGTGGTGCGATTGTTAAGCAATTGGCTACTAACCAGAAGGGGCGGTTCAAACCCACCCAGTAACTCTGTGGGAGAAAAGACCTGGTGATCTGCTCCAGCCTAAAGATTACACAATTTAAAGGTCCCTGTGGGGCAGTTCTACCCTGTCACATGGGGTTACTATGAATCCAAAATCAGCTTGACATCACCCAACGATGGCATAGGAATTGAAAGTCTCTTGGTGGCCCAAATGGGTTTGAACTTGACTACTAACTTAAAAGGAGCTCTGGTAGCATAGTGCCTAAGGCACTTGACTGCTAACCAGAAGGCTGGCGGTTGAAACCCACCAGCCACTCCTCGGAAGGAAGGTTGGGCATTCCTACTTCCGTAGCGATACTGCCTCGTAAACCCAAGGAAGGGTCGCTATGAGTCGGGGCTGACTCGATGGCAAATAACAACAACAACAACACTAACATAAAGGTTGGTGTTTTGAACCCACACTGCTGGGTTTAAATACTGCTGCACAGGAAAAGGTTGGCAGTCTGCTCCCATAAAGATTATAGGCAAGAACACCCTATGGAGCCTGGAACCAAATTAACCCCAGTGGCTCAGCTTTCAGCCAAGCAAAGAGAAGCCTATAAGGTGAACAGTATAGGGAGATAACGCACTCATCAGAACATTCAGCCATATGAGATCAGAAGAGCAGCATTTGCCCAGGGTTAAAAATTAGAAGACAGGGTGAGATGGGAGAAGGGAAATGGTCAACACACAGAGGCAGTGGGAAGAGTGCTCTTCCATTGTGGGGATTGCAGTCAGTGTCACAAGTCAAAATGTGTATGAATTGTTAAATGTATAACCAGTTTGCTTTGTAAACATTCACCCAAATCACAATAAAAAGGTAAAAATGAATAAAAATAAAGGATTTGATGAGAGAAAAAATTTAAATAATAGTCATTGGAGCAGTTTTACTCTGTAACACATGGAGTTGCCATAAGTCGGAATCAGCTCAATGGCAGTGGTCGTCCCCCCCCCCCCGCCCCCGGTATAGTAACTGAAGAATCTGAGTTGATTCTTAATCTAACAGTTATTAAAAAGGAAATGAAGATACATTTTTCTTAAAACAGAAAATAAAGGAAATAACGTAAACACGTCTATGCTTTCTAAATGAGCACTGAATAATTCAACAGGTACACAAATGTCATTAGCCATAAAGATTAATGAGGGTTAGTGTAGACTGCACTCCATTGTCTAATTTTCAGTATTATTCATATGACACAGTCCTTTCTGTTTTTTAAAGCAGTGCTTTCAGCCTTTTAAAATCTATGTCTTCCTTTGATAAACAGAAAACTCAAGTCTCTATAGTATAATTTAATTTCAAAATGAAATTAAATTCTCAGAGTGAAAATAAGTCAGAGTAATTACAGAAATTTTATTTTTCTCAATCCCTATCTCCGTCCCTTTCCCTTTCTACTTACACATTTTCTTACTTCTAAGAAATTTAGAAATTTCTATCTCATTTCAAATTTATAGGAACCCTTTTAATATTTGCTTTATTTATTGAAGTGGTATTGCATAGTGGTTAAGAACACTAGCTCTGTCGTCATACAGCTTGGATTTGTATCCCATCTTCTTTATTTACTATTGTGTAGCCTTAAGCAAGTTACTTAATTTTTTGTGATACGGGTATACAATGATAATACTTACGTAGTTGTTATAAGGATTAAATCGATAATATATGCAAAGCATTTAAAACAGTGCCCAACATATAGGAAATAATCATGTTAACTGTTAATAATTTTCTTTTTTAAAAGTCTGTTTCCTTATCTCAGTTTTTAAAATGTTAGAATGGTTAGATACAATGAAATAAGACTGAACAATTAACCAGTATTACTGTTTTATTTTCTAAAATCAGGTGGGAAAGTCAGTGTCTCGGGAAAACAAAGAACAAGATTCTTATTCTTCAATAGAAAGTGAAAAGAAACCAGAAGTTATACCTACAGCCATTTCTACACGTTTAAACAAGCAAGTCCTTCACCGTGATAGTCTTCCTGCAAATAGTCAGCCATCTCGGAGAGGCCGCTGGGGGAGGAAGAACAAAAAAACCCAGGAACATTTTGGTGATAAAGACTCTAAACTGCTCTTGCAAGAAACATCATCAACTCCTCAGGAACAATATGGAGAATGTGAGGAAAAGTCAGAAACTTCCCAAGAACCATACACTGAAAGTGAGGAGCCATTGACAGCCTCTCAGGAGCAGCCAAGTCATGATGGGAAGCCAGACATTCCTAAAAGAAGATTAAGTGAAGGGGTTGAGCTGTGGCGAGGACAGCTAAAGAAAAGCCCTGAGACTCTAAAGTGCAGATTATCAGAAGGAAATGATAGAATGCCTCGTCGCTACAGTGATGGCGACAGGACTCTCCTCAGGGACTTCAGTGAGAGTAGTGAGGAGGAAGAAGAGCCAGAAAGTCCTCGATCCAACTCACCACCCATTCTTACAAAGCCCACGTTGAAGAGAAAGGTACAGCATTTCTTTTACACATCTTCCCTTCCTCCAGCTGCAGTTTATAATGTACGTGTGTTCTATCCTAGGGTTTGAAAAAGTAAATTTAGAAAATTATTGTTTGTTATTTTTGGAACTTTAAGTCTTAGTATATTGTGGCTTATGATCTTTTCTGTAAACAACTGAAATATATATATATATATAATATATATTATATATATGACTTCTTTGATTCATAGGAATTAACTTAAAAATCATAAGTTTATTTAAAGGTCGGCACACTTTTTTTTCGGCCTACTGATTTGAATGATAGTTCAAACCATAACTTTAGAGATTTAAAAAATATTTTAAAGGTACGTACAGTTTAGAAATGTTTATATTAGCAAAGGAAAAAGTATTGAACAGTTCCATGGAAGGCTGTTGTAGTGGTAAAGCCACTCACTTTTCTTGTGTGGTCCTATTTTCTCTTGTCTCTCACTCCTCTTCTCACACATCCCTCCAGTGGTTTTACTTAACCTTGTTTTAAAAATATTTCTAAACTATATTTAATCATCTTGCAAAGTTTGAAGGACAGCCAATTTGTTACGTATCTGTGTGCTGGCGATAATGAATTCTGTTAAACTGCACACCAGAAAAAGCCCAGGCTATGTAATGAACTTGAAGTTTTGCCACAAGCCTGCCAGACTGAAGTATGCCAGCTCCCTGGATAAGCTGCTCTGTAGTAGTTGGGTGACAGTTTTAATCCAAAGCAATGAAATCATTCCTTTCCAAAGCAGGGCCTTTTTTTAAAAAAAAAAAAAAAAAATCTTTTTATTTTAGACATTTTAGATTTATAGAACTATTACAAAGATAGTACAGAGAGTGCCCATATGCCCCAGAGCTGGTTTCATTTTCCCCTTGGTTTTAGTGAAGCATTTCTAAAGTAAATTAATTAACCTCTTAAATTAGTATGGTATATTTATTACAACTATGAACCGATATTAATGTAATATTATTAACTAGAGCCCATGTTTTATTCTTACTTCCTCAGTTTTCCCTAATGTACTTTTTCTGTTCTAGGAGCCCATCCATGATACTACATTGTTTAGAAGTCATGTCTCTTTAGATTCCTCTTGGTTGTGACAGTTTCTCAGACTTGTTTTTGATGATCTTCACACTTTTGAAAGTTACTGGTCAGGTAGTAGGTAGAATAGTCCTCATGTATTAGACTGAAATAATGTGGGAGTAAGATCACAGAGGTAAAGTATCATTCTCATCCTATCATATCACGAATATTTACTCTCAATATGACTTACCACTCTTGATGTTAACCTTGATCATCTAGTTTGAAGTTACTGTTTGTTAGGTTTCTCCACTCTTCCTTTCCATACTATACTGTCTGGAAGGAAGTCCCTGTATACAACCCATACTTAAAATATGGGCTTCCTTAGGAGCAGAATATCTACATAAATTGTTTGGAATTCTGCACAGGAAGAGTTGTCTATTCTACCCCATTAGTTTGTTTATTCCATCATTTATTCATGATAATCAGTATGGACTCATAGATAATTTACTTTTACGTTTTGAGTTATAATCCAGTACTACTACTTTATTTAATTTGTTGGTCAAATTGTTCCAGCTTTAGCCATTGGGAACTTTTTCAGTTCTGCTCTGTGTTACTCATCATTGTTCAGTTTTGTTTTGTTTTGAGTACTTTTTTAATATTTTGGCACTACAAGATGCTTCAGCTTCATCTTGTGTATTTCCTGTCCCAGTCCTAGAATTAGCTATTTCTCCAGGGAGCAGAACCATTTTTATCCTAATCTGAAATTTGTTTTCTCAACTAAGAGGACTAGTAAATTTGGAGTAGAGGAAAACAACACAGACTACTCTTACTACTTGTTGCACAACTTTGAAAACTGTTATCTTTAACATTCTGGGGTTTATTTTGCTCTGGTAGCATAGTGCTTAAGGCACTTGACTGTTAACCAGAAGGTGGATAGATCAAACCCACCAGCCACACCTCGGAAGGAAGGTTGGGCAATCTACTTCCATAGTGTTACCACCTTGGAAACCCAAGGAGGGGTCGCTGTGAGTCAGGTCTGACTCGACGGCACATAACAACAACAACATTTATTATAAAATAAATCAAATTAGGCTATCTCCTGTGGTAAAAAAAAAAGAAAGAAATTGTAGCTGGCAATGAAATCATGTGTAAGGTACTTTTGAAGTTCTTAAAGAACTGGCATCAGGAGGCCTATATTTGACAGCCACTTCTACTACTGACTGGATATGTGACCTTGGGTAAGTCAGGTCACTTTTCTGCTCTCTATAAAGTGAGAACTGGATCAGATGATCTCTGGCCTGTCCTTTTGTTTTTGTGAAGGCTGTTGTGTGATTTAAAGGTGTTAGGTCAATTTTATTGCAAAGTTGTGCCTAATGTGTCAAATTCCAAAAACAGTAATACCAAGTAAATACATTTCAGCTTTGTATTTCCACATTTCACTGTAACTCTTTATGGATAGCTCATGAAAATGGCTTTCAGCTATACTGATGTTCTGTTAATTTCATAGAATTGCTATGAGATGAAGTATTTTTGTTCCTTTTTTTCTCCTGAGGAAAAGAGAAGTTACAGGGACTAGCCTCTAGTTCATTTTAGTATTGAAATCGGCAAGGGATTGCCCTACTCCCTAGGGTGTTAAATTGAACTGAACTTTTAATAAGAGAATGATAATATCTGCTCTTTGGGCATGGCATGCCTGCCTAATCTGTTACAAAGGTGTGTTCAGTTACCCAGCATGCTTGTATCCATGACACTTTTGTATAGTGTCTTACTACAGTATTTTGAAAAAATTTTCAGTGTCTTTCAGCAGACAACATCTTTATTTCATAGGTGCTAATTCTGTTAGGTTTAAAAACTTATTAATAGAAATGATGATGTTCATTACTGTAAATAAAATATTTTATTTCTTTTTTAAATAGAAACCAATTCTTCACCGAAGAAGAAGAGTCCGAAAGCGCAAACACCACAATAGCAGTGTGGTCACAGAAACTATTTCGGAGACAACAGAGGTGTTAGATGAACCTTTTGAAGACTCTGACTCTGAGAGGCCAATGCCAAGATTAGAACCTACCTTTGAGATTGATGAAGAGGAAGAGGAAGAAGATGAAAATGAACTCTTCCCTAGAGGATATTTCCATCGTTTGTCCTCACAAGATGTTCTCAGGTGCCGATCCTCTTCCAAGAGGAAGTCTAAAGATGAAGAAGAAGAAGAAGAGTCAGATGATGCCGATGGTATGTGTAGAACTGTTACTCTGTAGCTTTATTACCTTTAAAAATAGTCCATAATACCTGCAGACATTTCAACTAGGACAGGACGGTGTTTTTGTTTTTACCCAGTCCTTTCTTGGCCTTAACTAAATCTTTAGTTGATAGGTGGATTAGGCTTAGCTTCAGGAAGATATTTAAGTAATAACCCTTGACTAGAATTGTGTCTTCTGTGGACTTAATCTGTTTTAGTTGTTGCTGTATGATCTGTGCTTAGAATAGGCACTCAGTTGGGCAATCTACTTCCGTAGCGATTCTGCCTTGGCAACCCAAGGAGGGGTCACTATGAGTCGGGGTCGACTCGACAACACATAACAACAACAACAACAACAAATACTGTTAAATGAATAATGCTAAGTAGACAGTTCTCAAATAAGAGCAGATTCATGTAAATTGGAACTTGTTTCAAATCTCTTTCACCAGGAATCCTTCATGAATCATCTCTCTAATGTCTTACCCAACTAATAGTAAATTTCTAATAAAGATACAATAATACCTCTTAATAAATTAGATTTTATAGTGTTAGATAAAAATCCAGGTGTTTATTTTTAAGTACACTGGGACTCATATGTATAAGCTGGGTCAAAAACTAGTCTTTTGCATCCCAGCCCAAATTTTTTGTCAGTGTATCATGCTGCCTGCGTGTGCAGTTTGCATGCCTTGTATGGGATCAAACTGAGCCTCTTTCACTTTGTTGGGTGAATTTGAAGAAATCTAGTTGTCTACCTTTAGTATAAAAACCTCTATATAGATCTGGTAGTGTAGTGCCTAAGGCACTTGACTGCTAACCAGAAGGCTGGTGGTTCAAACCCACCAGCCACTCCTCATAAGGAAGGTTGGGCAATCTACTTCCATAGAGATACTGCCTCGGAAACCCAAGGAGGGGTTGCTATGAGTCGGGTCCAACTCGACAGTACGTAACAACAACAACAACAACATATTTTATGCGTTATTTAGTTGAGCTTTTTATTCTCTTTTTTAAAATAAATTCAGTAGATTTCAATTTAATTGATAACTTGTATTTTCTCCATTATATTTTTACTTAACAATAAGATGAATGACTTCTTTGATTTGTTGTGAATGATTTTCCAGAGTTTTAATTAAGTTATGGTTTGAGATATTTAACTAGGAAACTAAAAATTTGTTTTGTAAATTTGATAGTTCTGTCTTGGATTATTATATGCTAAGAGTATCCCCAGTTTAAGTTCCTGTTGGCTTGGACCATTTTCTCAGATTCAGTCATTTCCTTTGTTTGCATTCAAGTTATTACTACTAACTATACCTTTTCAGATGGTCCAGCCCCAAAATCTGTTTTTGCATTGATGTTTACATCCTTAAAAAGTTAAGAGGGAGAAATGGAACAACCAGAGCATAAATAATGAGAAGGTGCATTCATTGTGAAGAATGTGGTTTCACTAAACAATTTGTGTAGAAATTGTTGAATGGGAACCTAAACTGCCATGTAAACTTTCATTGAAAACATAATACAGTATTGCTAATAATTTTTTAAAAAGTTAATGGGGAGAAAAATATTAATGTTAAATTTATTTCTCATAAACTGTTGCTGTTAAAGCTTTACCATTTTCTTCAGGTCAATGTTTGTCCAGGACTAAATGCCTTCTAGCACTGTTCTCACACATACACAACATTTTGAGCAGTATTTACTAAGATTGCTCAATCATGGAGTAGAGTAATTGGCTTGTGAAAAACTATATGAAATTATGAATGTGGAAACTAAGGAAAACAGTAAAAATTGCATATGGAAATAAAGAGAAATGAGCTGATTTATAATTTACACAATAAAGATAGCTTGAAAAGGGTACTAATTCTTTGCATCTTTAAAAAGCTTATGGTAAAATAAAAACACGACATGCAGAAAATATAGCTTTTAACTTCTTTTTCTAAGAGGTACAAGCAAATGCATTATCATTTATTAGCTCTTACATAATATTCATAAGTTTTAATACATTCATTAATTTTTGTAGTGTATGCTGAAGTAAAATCAGAAAACGAGAGACTGAAAGACTAATAACTGACACCTGATCCCAGAGAGACTGAGTCCTTTCCTCTTCATTCAGCTAGTAAATCGCTGATGTGCTTCAGTTAGTCTGTATAGAATGCTTTAGATTGTGTGGAGCCTCTTAAAGAGAGCTCCAAGGAGAAATAATTCTGATACAGTTTTTATTCAGACACTATATTCATGGAGTGAGTTGTTCTGGTGGCACAGTTGATGAAAGCATCCAGCTGCTAACCAAAAGGTCGTCAGTTTGAACCCACCAGCTGGTCCATGGGAGAAAGATGAGGCAATCTGCATCCATAAAAGATTTACAGCCTTGGAAACCATATGAGGCAGTTCTACTCTGTCCTATAGGGTTGCTATGAGTCGGAATCAATTTGGTGGCAGTGGGTGTGATTTTTTTGGTATGATATTGATGTGTAATGAAAATTATTATTGTAAATTTATTATTAGTTTATAATTTATATCTATCTATCTATCTTCATATATAGCTCTACTGAAGAGTTCTCTATGTCAGGCACTATGCCAGGTACTTCATACTCATTACCTTAATTTAATTCTTGTAGCAGGTTGGTACTTTCCATTTATAGATGTGGAAGCTGAAACTTAGAGTAACTCCCAAGGACACATAACTGGTGAAGATAAAGTTTAACTGCTTTAAACTATGGTAATGGAGTATTAAGTGTTTCATTGTTCTGCCAATTCACTGTATGACTTTAGAAGGCATCATTAATTTGGTTTATTCTTTAGGTTTCTTAACTTCACAGTGAAATTAATTAGGAATTTGTGATGATAAAATCATTTCTGTTGTCCATGCTGCGCTCAGAAAAAGACTTTAGAAAATATAAGGTCTTGTAACTTATCTTTATTACTTTACAGACACTCCTATCCTGAAGCCGGTATCTCTCTTACGAAAATGTGACATGAAGGATTCTTCACTTGAGCCAGATACATCCACACCTATGAAAAAGAAAAAGGGATGGCCAAAAGGCAAGAGTCGCAAACCAATCCACTGGAAGAAAAGACCTGGTCGCAAACCAGGGTTTAAGTTGAATCGAGAAATTATACCCGTTTCTACTCAAGAATGCATCATTGAGCCCATTGTCCCCATTCCTAAACCTGGACGTAAAATGAAAATTCAAGAGAATGAAGAAAGTGTTGAACCAAAAGAAGACTTGCCCTTAACCGAAGAAAGGAAGGAAGAGGAGATGCATGTGGAAGCAGAAGAGGTGGAAGAGGGAGAAGAGGAGGATACAACCAGCAGTGAAGTTAGAGCAATGTCTCCAATGGATAGCAGCAATAGTCCCGAGACAGAAACTAAAGAACCCGAGGTCGAAGAGGAAGAAGAGAAACCCCGCATTTTAGAAGAGCAGAGGCAATCAGAGGAAGAGCAACAAGAACTGGAAGAACAGGAGCAAGAAGAAGAAGATGAAGTGGCTGTAGAGACAAACCAGAATGAAGACCATGATGCTGATGATGAAGATGATGGTCATCTGGAATCTACAAAGAAAAAAGAGCTAGAGGAGCAGTCTGCTAGAGAAGATGTCAAGGAGGAGCTTGGTAGTCAGGAATCTTTTTTAGATAGTAATATGCAGAACAATAGGGAGAATGCAAAAGATAAGGATGAAACAGAACCAGATTCTGAAGAGGAACAGACTTCCCATGAAACATCCGTGGTGTCAGAGCACGTCCCAGGGTCTGAGGATGATCCTGAAGAAGATTCAAACACTAAAGAAGAATTAATTGAATTAAAAGAAGAAGAAGAGATTCCTCATAGTGAGTTGGATCTGGAAACTGTGCAAGCAGTTCAATCTTTGACTCAAGAAGAAAGCAATGAGCATGAGGGAGCATACCAGGACTGTGAAGAAACTCTTGCAGCTTGTCAGACCCTGCAGAGTTATACTCAAGCTGATGAAGACCCTCAGATATCAATGGTTGAAGACTGCCATGCTTCGGAACACAATAGCCCGATATCCTCTGTTCAGTCTCATCCTAGCCAGTCAGTCCGTTCGGTCAGCAGTCCCAACGTGCCTGCCCTTGAGAGTGGTTATACCCAGATCAGCCCTGAACAAGGATCCCTGTCCGCACCCTCTATGCAGAACATGGAGACCAGCCCCATGATGGATGTGCCTTCTGTATCAGACCACTCTCAGCAGGTGGTGGACAGTGGCTTCAGTGACCTGGGCAGCATTGAGAGCACCACCGAAAACTATGAGAACCCTAGCAGTTATGATTCCACAATGGGAGGCAGCATTTGTGGCAATAACTCCTCTCAGAGCAGCTGCTCCTATGGTGGGTTGTCATCCTCCAGCAGCCTCACCCAGAACAGTTGTGTTGTCACTCAACAAATGGCAAACATGGGCAACAGCTGCAGCATGATGCAGCAGAACAATGTCCAGCCTGCTGCCAACTGCAGCATCAAGTCACCTCAGAGTTGTGTGGTGGAGAGGCCTCCAAGTAACCAGCAGCAGCAGCAGCAGCCGCCACCACCACCACCACCGCAGCAGCAACAGCAGCAGCAGCAGCAGCAGCAGCAGCAGCAGCAGCAACAACCAGCACCACAGCCTCCACCGCCCCAGCAACAACAGCAGCAGCAGCAGCAACCACAACCTCAGCCCCAACAGCCTCAACCTCCACCCCCACCCCAACAGCAGCCCCCCCTGTCACAGTGTAGTATGAATAATAGTTTCACTCCAGCACCTATGATCATGGAGATACCGGAATCTGGAAGCACTGGGAATATAAGTATCTATGAGAGGATCCCAGGGGATTTTGGTGCCGGCAGCTACTCTCAACCATCAGCCACCTTCAGTTTAGCCAAGCTGCAGCAGCTGACTAACACCATTATGGACCCTCATGCCATGCCTTATAGCCATTCTCCTGCTGTGACTTCCTATGCAACCAGTGTTTCTTTGTCTAATACAGGACTGGCTCAGCTAGCTCCATCTCATCCATTAGCTGGGACCCCTCAAGCACAAGCCACCATGACGCCACCTCCAAACTTGGCATCTACCACCATGAACCTCACATCACCTCTGCTACAGTGCAACATGTCTGCCACCAACATCGGCATTCCTCACACTCAGAGGTTGCAAGGGCAAATGCCAGTCAAGGGGCACATTTCCATTCGCTCCAAATCTGCGCCACTGCCCTCCGCAGCTGCTCACCAGCAGCAGCTGTATGGCCGCAGCCCACCAGCGGTTGCCATGCAGGCTGGCCCTCGTGCACTGGCTGTTCAGCGTGGCATGAACATGGGGGTTAACTTAATGCCAACTCCTGCCTATAATGTCAATTCTATGAATATGAACACCTTGAATGCCATGAACAGCTATCGAATGACACAGCCCATGATGAACAGCAGTTACCATAGTAACCCTGCCTACATGAACCAGACAGCACAGTATCCTATGCAGATGCAGATGGGAATGATGGGGAGCCAGGCCTATACCCAGCAGCCTATGCAGCCAAACCCTCATGGAAACATGATGTACACTGGCCCCTCCCATCACAGCTACATGAATGCTGCTGGCGTGCCCAAGCAGTCACTCAATGGACCTTACATGAGAAGATGAGCAAGATGAACTTGCAATTAAAAACTTAAATATATATAAATAAAGGAACCTTTTATACTGACAAACCAGAGAAAAATGGACCTTTTTTCCAGTTAAAATATTGCTGTAGATTTAGAGGAATTTTTCTTTGGTTTCTTTTATTTTTTAGAAAACCTGGTCTTCTCTTTTTTTGGGTTCATTGTGTTCTGGGTTTTGATTTTCTTCACAATCTTGAAGCATTTTACAGTAGAACTCATCTAAAAATGGATTTGGGGATAGGGGAAACATGCACAAAATCTTTTCATAATTAAAAAGAGCCTTACTTTCTTTACACACCACATGGACAAAATTTGTGTAAAGGTGAATTATCTTTATTTTATTTTAAAATGTATGTTTCCCCCTCACTGTTTGCAGCTCCCAGTGTTGTCATTTTTAAATGTTATATATACATCTCGAGGGTTAACCAGACCCTTTCCTCCAAACCTAACCTTTCATTTCCTACTTCATTCCAGCAGGAGGCACTTATGGGAGACTCGGATGGGGACATGGAGAACAACCCAAGCTCCTTAAACTTATTATTATTGTTAATATTATTATTATTATTAATAAAGTGAGGCAGGAAAATGCTTCTCCTTTTAAAATCCCCTGCACTCCCTATACACACACACCTCTTGAAACCTTTCCCCAAGAATGTTTCTTTATAAATGGACTTCATGAAAATGTTTGTTTTTCTTAAATCAAGTGTAATATAATTTTTAAAAAATTATTCCCACTCAGCACTCAGAGACACAAAATACTGTAAGTCTCAGTTAACAGCAGAATCTCAGAGGAAAGCTGTTTGCAATCCTGATCCAGCCTTTTGGAGGAATAGACATGGTCAATTAACAATCAAAAAGAGGAAATTAACCTCTTGTTTTTTACCACCTGGTGAATCAGCCATAATGCACATATTCCACTCAGCCTCTTGTTTTTAGTATGTACTTTGAAATGCTAAGGGTCTTTGAATCTTGAGCCTTTGACTCTGATTAAAACTCAAATCGCAGTCCCCAGTGATTTGCCTCTTACATTTCTTTCATAAAGTGTTGGTGGATGACTGTACATTTCAGTGATTTGAAAAATAGCTTACAAACCTTTGACAGTGTTTATTTTATGTGGGAAGAGATAATGCAGAATGTGTGTTGTAAGGGAGTTTATGGTGTGAGTTTTAATAGCTACTGAAATGATACATATACCTCTAGTTTTCAGTTGTCTTTTGAGATTCTGAGTTCATCCCTTAAGAATCAGAGTGTACCAGCCCCTCTCTTGTGAGTGGCTAATGAGAAGAGCGATCGACAGACCACCAGCATAGTAGGGCAAATCTGGACAGCAGGATTTTAGCAGGTTCATATGTTGCTCCCAGCTCCATTCTCTTTTCTCTTGTGCAACCAGTTCTCCCATTCTCTTCCTATTACTTGCTCCAGGGATAGGTAAAAACATTATATATATATATATATACATATATATATATAAAAACATTATATATATAATTCCATCATTAGAAGATGGAAACTATTATACCACTTGGTATGTGCAGTCAAATATCCAAAAGGGGGAAGTACTGCTTAAAGAAGTAACTATAAGCATTGAATTCTCTCCTTTATTTGTACATTTTATATAGATAAATTTTTAAACTACTAATTAGGCATTAAAGTTTTTCAAATGCACAGGTTTGTTGGTTTTTTTATACACTTCAATTGACTTTCTCAATTAAGTGTGTTAGATAGAAAAAGGCAGAACTCCACATCTTACCGCTCTCAATTCAAGCATGTGCAAGGCTGTGTAGACCCAGTTTCTCTGTATATACTATTCCAGTTCCCAATCATCTATGTAAAAAATGCACTGTGCTGCCCTCTCCCTACATCTTCAGCTATGTCATTGCTTCCTGGTTGGGGTGGGGCTGGGGTGGGGTGGGGAGGGAGGTATATTGGGAGGAGGGTGGGTCAAGGCAGAAGGAGAAGCTGTTGAAATGAGGGCCGTGAATTCAGTTTCTGTTGGTTTGCGGTTGTGTTTGGTTTTGTTTGTTTCTTTAAAAAAAAAAAAAAAATTCAATCGGGCAGCTCCCTTTTCCACAAGCCTCTTTGTGACTGTAGAACTATTGTAGAGAAAATGTTCTTTTCTATATTATAAAAGAAATTATCCAACACAGTAATATTGGTACCTGTCATTTTTTCACTTCTGTTTTAAAAAAATGTATTTTTAGCAAGATAACTTGGGTAATCTTCTAAAAAAGAAATTTAAAAACACTGTTAGTGACTTTGATGCCTTTTAAAATAAGAGCTTTTTCATTTCATTCCATCTTTAAAATTTTTTATCTTTGTTGTAGAATATTAAAAACTATTTTAAGAAAGATAAAAGTTCTCTTTAAAGAGATCTCTAGAGTGTGTGAATAGAGCTCCAGATGCCTCTAAAAGCCGCATGTACAAATGAAGCTAAGTCTATTCCTGTCTGTTTATATTTGCTTTTCCTGTTTTGTAACCTCTTTGTACTTTGTTCATGGTGACTTGTAAGCTAAGGGGAAGGGGTGCCTAGATGCCTTTGTATTTCTCCATGTCATGCGCTCCTGGGCCAGTTGGCCTCCCTTCCTCTCCTATTGTATGTAATATCACTTTTTTTTCCCCCTTTCTAGCAAGTACTTTCAAAAGAACTCTGTACATTTTAACATAAAAAAAAAAAAAATAAATTATGTTGAGCCATTTTGGATGTCTGTCTTGCCTGTGGCATTTTTCTCTCTTCCAAGTACTACAGACTTAATTTTCTTTTCTACACACAGACACCTATATGATAAATGAGTTTCTTTGTGTTTGCCCTTGTACATAGCAGCCATAAGTTCGTTGGTCTTTGCTCTGAAATTGCAGTTTTCATTCACGTGTATAAAAGTTGATTATATAGATGGTTTTTCCTTTCCCAAAGAAAATAGTATACTGTAATAAGTTTGTTTTGAATTTTTTAGGGGATTGTAATTACAACCCAGAGGAGTTCTGGTTAGAAGCATTTGGCTTCTAACCAAAAGGTTGGTAGTCTACCTACCAGCTGCTCTAGGGGAGAAAGAAGCAATCTGCTTCTGTAAAGATTTACAGCCTTGGAAACTGGGGCATTTCTACTCTGTCCTATAGAGGTGCTATGACTTGGCGTCAAGTCAGTTGCAGGGGTTTAGGTTTTGGTTTTAATTACAACTCAAAGGAATTGGGATTTGCCCAACCAAGGAAAGATAGTTGCAATAACAAGTAGCTCCTAGACTTGCAATAAATGGGAGGAATAATTAATCTTATTTCATAATATAACCTAATATTTTTAAGGAAAGATGAAAGCATTGTTTTTCTTGTTTTGCCTAATTATATAACCTGGGAAATTTTACTTTTTTTTTTTTTTTAACCAGAAAGCAAGGCCCTGAACATTGATGATCTTAGTTTGTGGTTCTCTGAATTATTCTACTTGGCTGCTTATCATTTAGAATTTTGGATATAAGATTCCAAAAAACATGATTTAGCTTTGGAGAACTGACCTTAGAATTTTGGGGTAGAGATGAGAGAGGTACAAGTTTTCTTGGCCCCGCTACAGTTTTATCTGCGCTTTCCCACTGACTTAGGAATTTAGGAAGTATACATGAGTAGTGTCTAAAACATTCATTCATGCAAAGCCTCATGCCCTTAAAATTTAGGCAGTAGTGTCATTTTCAGAAAATGCTTTGGGGCACAAACTTTGTTGCACTTAACTAGTGCATTTTTTCAAAAACGTACTTGTACCTCCTTTGCTGCAGAGACTCTCCTTTAAGTGACTTTAGCATACAGCAATTAGGATTTTTCTATGAAGAAGATGTGACCAAAGAATGTATTACAGATTTCTTCTGTTACTCCTCACTATATTTATATTACATTTAAAACACAATTTGAATGATACAATTCCATTTACAGATAACTCATGAGTGATGTCATGTAGAGGAAGTGCTTCCATTTCTTCTTCATTGTCCACCTTCTGGCCTATTCACACTATTATTAGAAGGTAGATATAGGAAGAAAATGATATTACACTTCATTAATGTGTGTATTGGTAAGAAGCCCAGGTCTTCCAGTGTGTTGGCATCTGTCATGCACACAGTAACTAGGGTACCAGGAGTCACATTCTTTTAAAGCCTCATCTGAGCATCTTGACTTCCTTTGTAGTCTAGTGTCAATTGTGTGTGTTCACTGAATACCAGAGTCTGTCAGGTTAACATCTAGCTTTTTAGGTGAGAATTATTACCTCGGTTTCTCTAGATTACAACCATGGCAATATGGCAGTTTTTGTCATATTCCTTCTTCTAGTCTCTTCATAATATGCAGGATATTGAACGATGGTGATGATAATTGAATAGGGAAAAAAGAAAACAAAAATAACTGCCCTAGTTAGCTGAGCAGATGTGGAGTTAGGACAAATAGAGGGTGAGGATGAGCTCTTCATTTCATAGGCTTGATGTGACTTCCACAAAATCTAAAAATTTCAGTGCAGTATTTCTGTAAATGAAGTACCATCCAGAGTAACGTTTTTCATGTTGGAAAATAATCTGGAATTCTTGAGCATGGTCATCCAGTTGAAAGCAGACAATCCCCAGAACAAAACCCATTCATTAATACTTTCCAGTTGAAGGGCAGGACAGGTTATGTAAGTTGAAGTGGTTACATAGTGTAACAGACCCATGGGTTTTCTTTCCAGAGTGACAAATACAAATTGGACTTAATGGAGATTCTTCACTGTATTAACAAAGAGCCTAAAACACAGATTACATAAAACCTGAAAAAAAGGTGACAGCTTTAATTTCTGTGGTAAGGAAAGCCTGGGGTATGATAGATAGGCTTTGGTCTCTGAGATCTTTTAAAACACTAGACAGAGATAATCAGCGAATTGTTTTCCCGAGGCTATTGTGAGTCAACTTTTAAACATTCTTGTTAGCAAGAGAAAACATGCAACATTTAATTCATTAAACAGACATTTCTGAAAGTTTTCAA